AAGAGAGAGAACTGCCAAAAAAAGTCAACTACAGTAGTAGGACTTGCAAGGGAAACTAAAAGCCATATAAATACAAAGAAAGTAGGAAAAGAGAAAGTGGGATCACTAAGTACTGAGATGAGGTGGAGATTAAAATTAATCTAGACATGGCTCAACACCTAAACAAATGCTCTGCCTGAGTTTTTAATAAGGCTACTGAAGAGCTTTGGAGTAGTGGCAATAGTGGTAATAGAAATAAGGATTTGAAAGTAGAAATTAGCAGTCAAGTAGAAAGTATAAGGAGGCGAGGTCAAACTCAAACATCCTAAGGGGAGTACATTTCAGGGTCTGCATAATTTCCATCCAAGAATACTAAAGGAACTGGAACATTAAATTATAAGCCCAAGACCACAAATTATTTATGAATCTGTAAACTCAGGAGTCATATCTTATGATAGGAAGAGTGCTTATACAGTACTTATTTTTAAGAAAGGGGCAGCGGGGAAGATCTAGGAAAATACATCCTTGTTAGTTTAACCTCAAATGTATGCCAGGTCTTAGAACAAATTTTGAAAGAGGGTACATCTAGACTGCAAGCCTCTTTCAGAAGAAGCTTTTTTGGAAAAGATCTTCTGGAAAAACTTTTTTTTGAAAGAGAGTGTCTACACAGCAAAAGTGCAATGAAAAAGCGATGTACTTTTTCAAAAGATAGTGTCCACATTGATTGGACACTATTTCGCATTTCAGTTGTGTTACTGTGGACGGAGTCACCTGTGTTACTGTGGACCAAGTCACCTGTGCTTTTTCCTGGAGGTCTCTTCTTTTGAAAAAACACTCTCTTCCATGTCCACACATTCCTTTTTCCAAAATAGCTTTTTGGGAAAAGGGCTTCTTCCTTGTAGAAAGAGGTTTACTGCTGTTGGAAAAACCCCTCTGTTCTTTCGATTTTTTTTTCAAAAGAACACGATTGCAGTGTGGATGTAAGCGAAGTTTTTCTGGAAAAACGGCCATTTTTCCAGAAAAACTCTGCAGTGTAGTCATATCCAGAGAAAGTAATAAAAGCTATTAAGATAAATGGTAACTGGGATCAAATACAACATGGTCAGACGAAAGGTAGACAGTACCAGACAAATCTGATCTTTCTTTGAAATGATAACTGATCTTTTAGACAAAGGAAATGCCACAGATCTAATCTACCTGGATTTCAACAAGACATTCAATACAGTCCTACATGGGAAATTTTTAGTTAAACTGGAGAAGAAGATAGAGATTTATATGAGAATTGAAAGGTGGATAAAGAACTCGTTAAAAGTGAGAGACTAAAATGGGTCATACTGAAACGAGAACTGGCAGAC